ACCACCTTGTTTGGTGGATCCTGGAGTGTGGAAGTAATTGTCATAGGGCTCTGTTCCTATCATAGATGACATTGATGAAATGTCAAAACCGAACATTAAACCAGATATACAAGAAACAAATCCAATGACAAAAACATTGTATAATTTAGGGAACTTGTCATATATTTCTCCTTTATATTGAACATTTTTCATTAGGATTTTGTCAGTAAAACTACCCATTTTTGCTTATTTCATAGAGGTGTCAGTATTATTAATACTAAGATTGATATTCTTTTTGAATGTAATGGTGAGTCAAAATACATCTTACCAGCAATTTTAAAAAAGTTATTAATGAACAAGGTATTTATATAATTAAAATTGGAATAAAGTTAGGTGGAATTAACCAGATACATTGATGGGCTAATCAGTTATCCTTTAAAAGATAATATAAACCTAGACGGCAATATGCCAGTGTACATCGTGTAAAATTTAATATCTCCGACAATGATGGATTTAAGTTTTTCCAAGCTCCTAGAGACTGCACCTATATGATTAACAACTTTTCGTTTTATGATTCGATTTAATCAGGTCTATAAAATAACACTCATGCTGCAGTCTTTGAATAATAGATTAATAATTTTGTAATTGCCACTATCAACTTGATTTAAGCCACCCAGGATAGACTGAACATTCTATCCCGGAGAACCTTAAATTTTTGTCTTGATATATTTCTGATTATAAACAAATAGGTGAGAAAGCATAGTATTTGATCATTAGAACAAGCAATTGTAAGGAAAACTGTCACTTGGTCTAGGTGGAATGCAGAAATAATAGTCAAGTTTATTAAGGAGAATTTAAATCTATTACCATTTTACCCCACTTTTACTATGTAGACTGTTATTAAAATTACTTTAGTAGAGGACTTGTATTGCCATAGAATAAATCCATTAATTCATTTGATTTTGACCAAAAATCTGTCATTGCCAAGTAAATAATAACTATTATTAACACCATAATAGACTAAAAAAAGAAAAATATATAGAAATAAAAGAAATATTCATCGAGATATAGATTGTTATACCGTTTAAATGCAGTTTACTCACAATACCCACACTTACAGTTAAGAAAACATCGTTTTGAGATATCCTAGGGAACAGTCACTCATAGGGATGAATGTTATACACTCGGTGAAAAAGTGTTGGGAGGGTTTTCTAATCCATAAATTTTAAATAATTCGAAAACTCCTTCATTTCTCGAACATTATTATACCAAAGCTCATATATCATACCTCAAATGGTTGAGCTTGCATTGTTGCATTTCTTCTTTTTAGCAGACGTCAATAATCATGCATAAATTTACGGAGAAATTAGCGGAGTTGAACTTTTTTCAAATAAAATGTAGGTATCATACAATACCTTACAAAAAGACGTCATTGCATTTAAAATCACCAAAAGATGTCAAGAATCAAAAGTAAGAAGAGCTCTTGGATTTAGTTTTATGCCTTGCAGCTTTATTTTAGCGTTTATTTTGATAGCTTATGCAAGGATAGTCAAATTTTAAACGCCAATTTTGAAATGCTAACCCCAGAGTATATTATTTAATGATGGTTTCATCTCTTCGAACTCTCTTTATACTAACCAAACTTAGTGACAGATTATTCTTCGAGTATTCTTCAAATCTGATTTAGCTTTGCTTTTCGAGTTCATTATGAATTTTATGAAGTTGGTTCTCTTCTACTTTATTTTAAAAGCAAGTTGTAGCTATTTATTGTAAATTGGGATGAATCAAAGGGGACTATAGTTAAGTGAACAATTATATACCTAAAAGTTTTAAAGCATATTTAATGTTTTTTCTAATACTGAATTATTTTTCCTGATTGAACTACATTCTCTCTACCTGGTTGTGTCGTAGTTGCATAAATTATATTTACAGAAAATATTTAAAAATAATCATTTTGATTTATTTTGATTGGCTACCATATCAAGTCTATTGTCAAAGTAAGAAATAAATATTTTATATTTGTATTGTATAATCTTCAGTCAAGTTACTTGTGATTACTAAGCTCCCGGAGGTTTGAGATGCAAACGCTCATTATATCATAAATGAATGATCTATTTCATGAAGTGAATGACTATTGGTATGGTAAATGAGTCGAGAATAGCAGAATATAGGACAACTGAGAATGAAACATTAATTATAGAGCAACAGTGTCACTCTTTATTACAGATTTTACTTGCTGACATTATATTTCGCATCCAGGACAGGACTAGCTTCAACAAAATCTTTGATAAATTCAAAATAACATGGAGCTGATTTCCTTAAGCATAATTTAAATATAGTTAATATTCCTGTCAATAATTTTTCCTCGACACTCTTTAACGTAGTACAAAATTTAGAAGTCTATGATATCCATGACATATTCGAAATACTGTTGATACTACATACACTCACTCATTCAGGGAATGACGTAGTTATCCTCTTATAGGTTTCAAAAGGTGAATCCAAGGAAAGTTATAAACTGAGTATATCCTATATAGAAACTTGAAGTTGTAATTTGGATTTCTGGCAAGTACTACTATTCTTTTCAATACTAAATGATTGCATTATCCTGTTGGTATTGGTTCTAATAAATAAAAATATATTAGTTATTGCAAAAAACCCTTTTCAAAATATTCAGTTAATCAAATTTTGTGAATATTTAAATACTTAAATCATTTGTCTTTTTAATCATGTATCCTTTAAGGTTTCTCTAATTCAATACACATAATAATTGAAATATATGAATAAGTAAATGTTCCAGTGACATTATTAACAATTCAGGTGCCTATTTCAGCCATAATTTCTCAGTAAAAGTGAAACTAAAGGCGCCACACTCAGTTAGCGGGAAATGTTTGATTATATCATTTCTAATTTCATGAAATTGTTGCTAGTGAAAATCTTTGCCTTTCCTTATGGTACAAATCAAGATGTTTTTAACTAAATAATTTCAAATTCTTATTTTATTCCAATATAAAGTACCCTTCAAAATGGTAGTCTCCATAAGTGACATTGATCTCTTGAGGAAGGTGAGTGTTTATTGTTACTAAGCTCCGACTATTTGAATTAATTCAACCACGGAGTTTTATATGGCTCGAAAATTATTTTGTTCCAGAATCTAAGTAAAAGTTATCTGGCAACTTGTCATTAAAGTTTACTTGTCATTAAAGTTTACTTGTCATTAAAGTTTACTTGTCATTAAAGTTTACTTGTCATTAAAGTTTACTTGTCATTAAAGTTTACTTGTCATTAAAGTTTACTTGTCATTAAAGTTTACTTGTTATCAAAGTTTACTTGTTATCAAAGTTTACTTGTCATCGAAGTTTACTTGTCATCAAAGTTTACTTGTCGATTAATTGGTCGCATTTTAAAGATGGTGATGTCTTGGGATAAAAAAAACTAAACCAAAATTATTGAAAAATTATTAGATATATAAAGTTTAAATAAATTTTATACTTGTTCATTAAAAAGTCTAGGAATATTCAGATATATGATTCTTTTTACATTAGATAGTACAACAAAAATATATTTAAATATTGCTGTCCTATCAATTACCTGATAGTTATTAGGAATTTGTTAATCATAAAACTTCATTTATTCCCTATATAAAAAATGGCATAAATTATAACATGAGTTATTTTCATTAAATTAGAATTTTCATAAAAGTAGTGTAAACATTAAAAATTGAGAGTTTATTAGAAGGAGCTACTGCCCAATTCTGTATCTTCAATATGAGTTACCATAGGTTTGTCGGTTTCCTTGTTGTCGTCTTCTATAATCTCAGAGGAACTTTCATCCAATACATGAGATGTGAGGTCAACATCGATTTGTGATGGTGGCCTCCATGAAGCTGATCTCCAGGCTGGGATATTTGCGGCCCACATTTGATCAATTTCTTCTAATGTCTTACCCTTGGTTTCAGGGAACATGAAAAATGCATGAATGGTGCCAACAACTGTGAAGACCCCAAATATAATATATGTTTTCCATGTAATACTTCTAAATGCTGGAGGAACAAATAAACCAATTGAGAAATTGAACAACATATTCATAGAAGCAGACAATGAGCCACCCTTTGCTCTTTCAAGGTTATTATATATTTCTGTACTATAGACCCACACACCAGTACCCCATGTCACTGCAAATGTAGCAACAAATAAAAAGCAACAAGCAATTACACCTTTAGCGGCAGATTTGTCATCTTCAGGGATACTGATACTGACAGTTGGGTTTCCATTTACACCTCCAGGAACAGGCACCGAGTGGACTGCCAAGGTACCAGCTACAGCAAAAAGCCACGTAAACATTAATGGCCCGCCAATAAGTAAAAGTGGCCTTCTACCAACTCTATCAATGATAAATAAAGAAATTACTGTCATACCAACATTCAGACAGTAATGAATAGACCCAGCAATTAAAGCAGCATCACCACGATAACCAGCCATTTCGAAGATATAGACCACATAATAATTCATAACATTAATACCAGATAATTGTTGCCACATGTGTGCTGACATACCAACAATAGTTTTTCTGATTGTCTTTTTTCTTAGCATATCACGATATGTGAAGTTTGCGGCCTCTTTGTCATTCATTACTTGATCCTTCATTGCTTGTAGTTGAATTGCAACTTCTTCAGAGATATTTTCAGGGCTGGTATGATTCATTTTACAAATGTTAAAAGTAGCTTCTTCCCATCTATTTTTGTTAGCCAACCATCTTGGTGATTCTGGCAGGAAAAAAGTACATACCAATAATGCTAAACCTGGAGCAAGTTCAATACCCCAAGTAACTCTGAAAGCTGCGGTGGATTGAATAAAATGAGCCCCATATCCAATGTAATATAGTATTAAAATACCTAAAACAACTGATAGTTGGAAAATACCGGCAATGGCACCTCTGATTTTTGGTGGCGCAATTTCAGCACAATAAACTGGAGCAGTGCCAACACCAAAACCTATACCAATACCAGCAATTAATCTGCCTACTACTAGCATAGCAACATCTTGAGCAGCACATTGTAGTGTTGAACCAATAAGCCAGAGGACAGCACAAACATGAAGAGACACTCTTCTACCATAGGCGTCAGAGTAAATTGGAGATAGAATGGAGCCCAAAACTGATCCACCTGCCATTGCAGATGTTATACCACCTTGTCTGGTAGAGTCTGGATTATGGAAATATGTTTTATAAGCCTGTGTACCAATCATGGATGACATAGAAGATATATCGAACCCAAACATCAGACCTGAAATGCTTGCCACGAAACCAATGACAATAATATTGTAAACCTTTGGAAATCTGTCATATATTTTCCCTCTAAACGTGGTATTTTTACCCAATACATAACTGAGCACTGTATTATACTTACTCATCTTGCTAAAATTGATATTGTTTAGAGTGAGTTTGTGTGTGTTTGTATGTATGCGTGTGTGCGTATGATATTTTGGGATTCTATTATACTGACATAGCAGGAATAAGATTAATCTAAGAATCTTGCGATCTCTAAAAATTATTCAAAATGTGAGTTCTATTTATACAATTGGAAAACTTAAATTAAATATATCTCAGTTATTTTCAAGTTTTATTATTTTCTCCTACTGTTTCGACGTCACAACTTTGGAAGCACTTGACTCTTGAAAAAAGTGGAAATTGTTGTTCTTCTCTAGTCTATGTTCCCATTTTTTCAACAAATTATAGAATTAAAGGGTATTCAAAAGAGGAGTTACAAACAAGGGTATTATATTGTTGGAACTTTGGAATCTAATATGACTTTGACCATGCATATCAACTTCAGAATAATGAATAATCATAAAATGACTAAAATTTTTACAATAGCAAAGTTAAAGTTTTAATGTATTTCAAGATAAACGTACCCCGGGAAATCTAGATAAATTGCAATTGTTTTACTACCTGGTTTTGCAGGAGGTATTGTAGATATGTTTGCTAGCAGATTGATGGCAATTGTACTAATTACAGAGAAACTGAATCATCTTGGATAAAAAATGCAAAAAAAACGATATCAAACTATTTCAAAAGAGATTGAAATTCTTGCGATTTTTACCCCATGTCTCTATAATTAATACTAGTGTATCGCCGCGTCTCAAACAGATCGATGGCGATGACCAAATTGGAAGAATGTTAATTCGAAGTAATTAAACATAGTTAATTATTTGAAAATATAATTGTTAGAGCAATTGTACGAAAATTCGATCAAAAAATAGTACAATTTTCAGATATTCATTCACGAACTTCTTGAATTACAGTGAAGGAATTTAATAGTGTCCCAAGGCGAGTTTAACATTAAATTGACGTTCTCGAAATAGCAACTAACTTTTTGAAGACAGTATAATTTCAATTATAAACAATTTATGGTACCAATACCAATAACCGATCTTAATTATAGGTTTATTAAAATGGTGTAGAAATAGAAAGCCGAAGTCGAATATCTATATTTTAAGCTTGCTCATTGCCTTCATAATTAAATTCTGTTGATTCTCCTCAAAGAATTCGCCTTATATGACGTATGATTAATTATTGCGTTTAATTGGAATTGATTGCTGCCTTAAAATTCGAAAATGAAATCAACAGCAATATCAATATTTCATTGCTCGTGGAAATATTCCTGTTTCGAAATAGTCAATCTAATCGTCGATTACATCGTAAAAAAAATAAAATAGACTAAATCTCGTAATTCGTTCAGAAGTTGATGCCTCTAAAGGAAAGTTGTCTTTCTATTGATGTCATGAGGAATATTCTGCTGTTAGAATTACCATTAGGACCTTCAAAAAAAACAAAAGTAAAAAGAAACAATGTGTATGTTTCTTTGTTTCTTTCATTGATCTCATCGATAATTTAAGTATTTTTTCACTATTAGTTTGATTGGGATTTTTAGAGGCAATCTTACCTTCTTTCTTTCGTCTTGTATAATTACGCTTAGCGGACTTTTAAATTATCATTACATTCATATAATAAGAATAACTTTGAGATGCATCTATTTCTCCTTATTTTGATATTATTTGAAGGTTATCAGTATTGTACTGCTGGTTAAACACGATATAATTAGCAAAAAGAGAAAGTTGGTTGTTAACCTTGTTTCGAAAAAACCTAATATGGATATCTCCCCCGTCAAGCAATCTGAAGATAAACTTAATCGTATTTGAAACTGTTGTAAGTTTCAGTTCTAATCTTGTAATAACTTTAAAACAGGGAGGAGCAAGAGGGAAGGTAGTAAAGTGGTTCTTAGTCTGGTGTTCCTTATCTTGTTAAAAATCGCATCAAATAGGATTCTGTATCTTGTCATTTTCAATGTCATTGTCCTTAAGTCAGAAGAATGATTATTGTTGGAACACATCCCTTTCTAGTATAATCGGAGAATATTTTCAATAGATGCGGTCAAGTTCTCTTTCAAAGCATCATTAGTGATGAAATGAATGACTTTGATGATGTCTTGGTCGGTCAAGCCTTTAGCCATGCATATAGATAGAAAGGTTTTAGTTGTAAATAATCTGGTTTGATATAGTTGGTGGACAGATAGGTCTTGTTCTAAGATACCAGACAATCTTGTATGGTATCTACCTCCTTACTTGTTACCAACTCAGTTATTGTCTTCTTGCTCTGTATTTTTTACAAATTTCGAAATATGCTAGTTTTACAACATCCTTGGAATTAATTTTAATTTTAGAGATGTTTATTATTGTAAGCCATGCCTTGCTCTTTCTACTCCATTCTGCTTCTTTGGTGAGATCTTTTTGAGATTTGTTGTATTAGGAGTTTCTATAGATTTCAAGTTCAGAGCTTGTTCAAACATCAGTTGTTGTCAGTATATCCTGGGTGTTTAGTTTGTATTAACTCTCTATCTTGATTGCGATTGCTTCTTATTGGTGATTTGATATTTGTAAGAAGAGGGGATCTAAATATTCACTTCTAGAGAATCAAAAATGGCTGCTTCTTGGAGATTCTGGTGCGTAAAAGAAGCATGTGGTTTCTATTTCACGGTTTTTCAGATCTTATTATCAGTTCTTGAAGATTATTTTGGGAAGCTACCTAAATTTAAGTAAATATTTTTGGGTTTATTCCATCCAGTATTACAGCAATATTTCAACAATAATTTTGATTGATATTTAAAATAATGACTTTTCTTCGAAGTAAAAGAGTAACTATATATATATATATATATATAATGATCATATATAGCAATTCTTTCTTCGAACCATGTCAATTTTTTAACTGGTATATTAGTGATAGTGCAACTGCATATAGCTGCATAAGCATGCATATGTTTTCGTCTTGGCAGGGCATAAAGATAATTAATGAAGTAAATTTTTAGAATAAGATTTATGAGGTTTCCTAACACTTGAATATTAATTCATTTTAAGCCTCGATTTTAACTGTTAGTTGTACTAATCATCTAATTCAAGGTTTATTGAAAATGATAAGGTTGCAGTTGGTTATTCACTTCAAAAAATATTTGAATTATGACGATATTTTAGTAAGAGTTCGATTGAATTGATTTGAAATATCATTGAACATATGAAGGAACTATCAAGAGCTCTGAATTTAATGCAGATATCATAACTTTATATTTTATTTTACATTGGAAAAACTAGAAAATTCAAAAATGTTTCACATATAAATCAATAACTATAGACATTTTCCGGTTCTCTATTTATAATATAGAAGTATCTAATGAATAATCCTCTTAATTTTCAGGTTACTCTGAGGAATGTCACGTAGAGATAATTATCAATATATTAAGGTCTTGCTAGAATCGCCTATACAACGTAACTCACAAGAGATAGACTGGTTATTATCGAAATAAACATAAAATCTTGTATATCAGATCTTCTATATAACTTTGTTTCTCTTAAGTCAATAAATGCTTTTACATTGTTTAAATTAAATAATCATTATATTATATTTCAATTATTAAACATCATAAAAAAGTTAATGGAAAAATATATATATATTTAAAAAGGTATTATTGTTTATTCCATTTCTTAATAATTATTAAATTTCTTTAACGACATCATAATCTCATCATTTCCATAAATCTTACAACGATTTGTCGGTGCTTTCGATATGGTCAACTACTGGCTTTTCCATTTCTGCCTTTCCATCATCCTCTACAAAATTAGATGAACTTTCTCCAGTGTGTAAGTTCTTAAAGTCATCATGAAGATGGGATGGCAATGTTGGTTTCCATGAAGCTGATCTCCAGGCTGGGATATTTGCTTCCCACATTTGATCAATTTCTTCCAATGTCTTACCCTTGGTTTCAGGGAACATTAAAAATGTATGAATAGTTAGTGCAACCGAGAAAATACCAAACATCAGATATGTTTTCCAAGTAATATTTTGGAATGCACTTGGAACAAATAAACCCAAGGCAAAATTAAAGATCCAGTTAACAGCTGCTGACAATGAAGAACCCTTTGCTCTCTCGCTGTTGTTGAAAATTTCAGAACAGTAAATCCAAATACCAATACCCCATGTTGGAGCAAAAGTACAAACGAATAAGTAACAACAGGCAATAACACCCTTGGCAGCATGTTTATGATTATCAGGGATCATGATGTTAACTGTTTCATTACCACCAACACCACCTGGGACAGGTACAGAGTAAACAGACAATAAACCTGCGACAGCAAATAACCAAACAAACATCAAGATACCACCAACTATTAAAATAGGTCTTCTACCAAGCTTGTCGATAACAAATAACGCTGGAATGGTCATAGCGACATTTAAAATATAGTTGATAGACCCTGACACCAATACTGCATTCCCTGAATAACCAGCCATTTGGAAAATATAAACAATATAATACATCATAACATTAATACCAGAAAGTTGTTGCCACATTTGAGCAGACATACCAACTATAGTCTTCTTGATAGTCTTCTTTCTGAATAGATTAGCGTAAGTGAACGAATCAGCTTCTTTATCGTCCATTACTTGAGTGTTCATCTCTTCTAGTTGAATGGCAACTTCTTCAGAAATATTATCAGGATCCGTATTATTAATTCTACAGATATTGTAGGTTGCTTTCTCCCAGAATCCCTTGTTAGCCAACCATCTTGGTGATTCAGGCAAGAAAAAAGTCGCTACTAACAATACAAACCCTGGAACTAATTGAATGCCCCAAGTTAGTCTGAAAGATGAAGCAGATGTAATAAAATGGGCACCATAACCAACGTAGTATAGGATAAGGATACCAAGGGTGACAGATAATTGGAAAAGACCAGCAATGGCACCTCTGATTTTTGGAGGTGCGACTTCAGAACAGTAAACTGGGGCTACAGCAGAGCCAAACCCAATACCAATACCAGACACTAATCTGCCAACTACCAACATTGCAAGATCTTGAGAAGCACATTGTAAGGTGGCACCGATAAGCCAGAAAGTTGAACAAATGTGAAGTGACACTCTTCTACCAAAAACGTCAGAAAATAAAGGTGACAGCAAGGAACCAACAAATGAACCGGCAGCCATAGAAGAAGTGATACCACCTTGTTTAGTAGCATCTGGAGATCCAAAGTATTGTTTGTAAGCGTCAGTACCAATCATAGATGACATAGATGAAATATCAAAGCCAAACATTAGACCAGAGATACAGGAAACGAAACCAATGACATAAATGTTGTAAATTTTGGGGAATCTTTCATATAGTTTGCCTTCATACTTGATATTTTTCATAAGAATAGTGTCCTTGAAACTACCCATCTTTCTTAATATATCTTATTACTTTTGCTTATAGGTTTTTTATATTTTTATATTGTCAAGATCTGATTTTATTGATTATATTTAATCTTAATATATAGAATATATAATTGATGACAACACTGTAGGTTAAGAAAATATGGATGTTTTATGATCTATTTATATAAAATTATTTTAATTTTTTTTTATTATGTTTTCTTCAAAATCTAGAGGTAATTGAAGGTTTGTGCTGGGATACCATCTGATATTTCCTAATTTACATGATAAATTTATTGACGTATGTAAACGTTAGTAAAAGTTAAGACACTTTGCAGCAAAAACTAAAAATAAATGCAAGACCTTCATGCTTTGACATAGTGGATCAATTTAGATGCTTTTTAACTGTGATTGGGTTTTAATTGGTTCATCTCTTCACAGGTTTTTGTTATAATAAGAAATATGTTTAAGTCGCAGATAAAACGAATAAACACATTTGATTTTTTCATTCATACTAATTTATTTTCGCTGATATTATTATAAGAGTTTTCTTTACCAAGAGACTAGATCATTATTTTTATTAGTAAAACTGTTTATTTTAGGAGTAAAACTATTGAAACTCAAAATTTATTCTAACAAGGACATTACTTAAACGGGTTTATCTTAGATTGGACACTTTATGATGCAATGATTGTTTAATAACCTTTAAGTAAGAGTCTTTCAAGAATTAAAATTTACATATCATCATATGATGATAATATGTAGAAGCCAAAAAAAGCTAGTTAATTAGTTTCGATCAAACTGATTGAGTATTTCTTGCTCTACTAAATCTGGGGAAGTTTCCCCACATTAATTTTATCTCGATAAAATTCCAATTGAAGAATAAAAAAGTAATTACTTCGACAACAATGCCACTATTTTATTGGGACTACATCTTAATTATATTGTTTTTTTTTCGTTGATTTATTCATTCAACAAAATACAGCCAAGGAAACAACGTCTGACTTCGATTATTCGTGATTATTATTGTTAAAAATATATATTTTCAATAAGCCAATTATATGAAATGCAACATCTCTGTTCCAATCCCCTCTTCTACTTCCACTCCAACTCTTTCTGCGTGACTAGTTTTTCCAGCTTCAATAAATTTGACACACTATTGCAACTGACTATGTTCAAAACAGATCTAGATTTCATTGACGCAAGAATGACCCAAGTACAAGAAAAGGTAATAATTCGATTATAGCTTTCATCTATTCTACTTGAAAGTATATTCATGCTATGATAATATTTAAAGATACGTACTTTGTCATTGAACTTCCCAATAAAAAGAAAGCCTACATCGGCGAAACCTCAAAATACCTGCATTTAATTTCTAAGGATTCTTTCAGTCAAGAAGAAGAAGAAGGAAATACAAATAATCCCATTATTCCATTACTGTTAAAAGTATCTAACAAGATATTTTTTTTAAATTAATCCATATCTCAAAATCGGTTTTTAGTAGACTTCCTTCGGCTGATTCATATATTACGGAAGTTCTCGAAACTTTATTTGACAACATAAGAAAGAACCAAATATCCACTCCTCTCTAATATCTACAAAGCCCGGAAATATTCATCATGATCTCTATAATCCCTGTATAATTGTAACTGTATTCATGTACAAACCAGATAGGTCAGTATAGTAATATTCCTAGCATAATAAAAGTGAGTGAAATTACTTGTATATGAAAAAACTAATGGACTATTTGTCACTTTGCATATGCATGATATTATTACGCATCTGGTTTCTGAAATAACTGTCTTGAATAATTTTAATACTGCAACTGCTGGTGCTGCAGCTACTTTACAATGTAGTGTTTATTTTCTTATGCCACAGGTAAAAACGAACTCCAAGAGTGCAAGAGAAGGATGGTTATTTTGCAGTTTGTTAGCAGTTTACTACATATGTCCAAGTTTTAGAATCAAGAACTTTGCTTTTTTAACAGTTAAAAGGAATAAAATGAAGCTGCAACACGAAAAAAAGTATGAACTGATGTTGTTGTTGGTCAGGACTTGTGATACTTTTTACACCGATAATCATAATATTTGCATCTTTCCCTTGCATATACTTAATTATTGGTGGAAATGGTGGTCGTGGTGCTACACCTCTTGTTTATTGCTTGGTAGATTATTTATTCATTCTTCGGAGAAACTTTTTTAACTTTATATATTTACTGTTTGATGTTCGCTATTATTTTCATAGTATTTTTGCCGTTTAATAAATATATGTGGGGTTGAGAAGGTGCAAGACATCAACACGTCATGAACACTTGCTTAATATTTGATTTAATAGAAAATACTTTATCTGAAAAGTCTTATAATACTGAAACTAAATACTAATTATTGCTATTTATCATATATGTAAGTTTGATAGTATAGTTATTGTTTTCTTTCTTTTTATTATGTTTGTAATGATATATCAAAATTGATTAATGAATGACTGGTGAAATTTTGGGGTTATTCCTATATATCCGTTCATTACTAGTTTTGTTCAAAATTTTTCAATGATAAAGATGATTCAAGATCCGATATTTCTTTTATATGTTCTTCTTTATTTGGAGCATCTTTCAATAAATCTATCCATATTGTTACCATATTTTTGGATCTGGTAATTGCTTCCTTTGACGGAGGTACCAACTCTAGTTCTTGTTTTGATTCTGATTTTGATTCTGATTTTGATTCTGATTCGTTTTCAGGTTTTTGTTCTGAATCCTTTTGGTTTGATTCTTCAACAAGTTTTTGCATTATTATTTCTTGTTTTTCTATGTAATCATTCCATTCCGTTATTTTATTTTGGCATCTTTTGACTAATTCATTCTTTGAATTACCTGTCATGTCTTTGAAATATTCAAATAGTAATTCATCAAACTCTATTGGTATCTCTTCAAAATTGAAAAAATGTTTTAATATCCAATTCTGTTTTTGTTTTGAAAATTTCCAAACTTCTTTGATTTCATTACCACCAATATTGTTATTGTTGCCATTATTAAGAGAACTTATATTGCTTTTCACGTAATCCAATGATGATATTTGTTCAGGTAGCGAATCGTTGATTTTATCAAGATGGAAATCAATTAAATATTTTAATTGATCTTTCAAAACTTTAGCTTTTTCAACATCTTTCTTCTTTTCTTTCTTTCTATTCTTCAATTTTTTAACTTTTGTAACTTTGTTATCCTTGCTTGCATTGCTAGAACTATTAATAATATGTTTCTTTTGTTTTTTGGTCAATGAACCAGTGGCTAGATGTGTAGTTACGTTCAAAGGATCATCATCTAAACTCTCACCTTTGGCGACTTGAGCTTGTTTAATAATGTTAATTCTTTTCCATGCAGGAACATGAGACTCACTCATTTCGATACCTTTTTTATTTATTTTGATATTTGAAGTTGTAGTAATTGATACCGAACTATATAATATATATGTATATGTTAAGAATGGAGATTACAGGGACCATTTAATAACCTTCAAGTTGATCTCATCTCATCTCATCTCATCTCAATGTCTAATTCTGAACAAGCTTTAAATTTTTCACTGCCATCCAGTGTGAAAAAATATTGTATGCACGTGACTTGAACACCAGTACACCTCGCCCACAACGAACAAGAAACAATTACACAGAGACACAGGCTTGAAATCTCAAATTCTAGTCATAACCAACACGACAACGACTACGACTACGACATCATAGGAATAGCTTCTAACCCATTCCGTTTAGCTTATCACTCCGAAATTGTAACGTCAGTATGATTTTTCCAGCAACTGCCTACTAACGACTCTCTCTTCTCAAGCTATCAAATAAACTTCCGAATTTAACCAATTCTTCTTTAAAATAATTCCAAAAAGATGTAACTTAAAGAACCCTCTCTCCCCCTCCCAAACAAAAAACTCAAATCAAACAAAACTTTACACCCCCCCCCTCCGGCCTCCAAAACCCTTAACCCTTATTCCAAAAATCTCCACTTTTCCTTTAAAACCACCCCAATCGATCCCAGGGGCCTTATTTTTACCAAAAGAACCGGGCTTTTGTCAAAAAATTTATACACCCCGGGACCCCACAATGAAAAAACAATTATTTCAAATAAGCCAAAAATATAGGCTCTTTAAATTTTTTGCCCCATGGAAATAAAAA